CTATCGATGTATCTTTGTTAGCATATTTCTCTTCCCATCTTTCACTTGCGTCGTGCGAGTTTTATTTGGAATTTAAGCCCGATGGCAATCTCATTCAATAAGAACGAAAAGAACGTGAGATGGGAATCGTTTGTCTGGTGAGCCGCGTATAACGGTTGCGCATCGCGGTATAAAACATCGTATCAACAATCCTCCTCCACCTCCTGCCCCTTGTCGCCTTATCCCCGAGTCGCGTTACGCTTTACGTAATAATAATACCGTTAATACTTCTGTCTCGTTTAAGGCAAATTGGATCGGTCGCAGGCGAACCGATTAAAATCGACCAGACATCACTGAAACGAAACATGTTCCAGGCCTCGAGCCTCGTGTTACACAACGTTTATTAAACGTGTGAATAGATTCGTTTTTCATAGATCGTAACGTAAAGGGGAGAGGAGACTAAAAAAAGAAAAATCGGGGTGTCGGAAGAAAATGTTCACCTTCGCGACACAGGCAGACAGTCTCGTCTGGTGAAAGTCGAAGGCAATAATCGTCTTGATCGACGACGAGAGAGATTCGAGCTTCTTCTTGAATAGAAGCCAGACACCCTTCGCGTCTCCTCTGACGATGTCGTCGTAGTATTTGCCAGTTATCCGGGATAGTGCCACGAATAGCGTCACGTTTGTCGTAACCTCGATACGTTTGTCGAGGCAGAGTGGCAGGCATCGGCAAACATATGCTGCCGCCCGGGTTTTCAAACGCTTCGTTCCGCACGCGTATCAGAGTTGGCCGCATCGAGAGCGAAAACTTGGCGTGACTTTTTTCAACCCGGGGAGGAAAAGAACGATTGGGAAAGCAAACGACGCGTTTCTGGAGCAGCGCTCGTAATTGCAAATTACTGGCCTTCGCCGGTTTTTTGTCTTTCCTTTGAAAAGCGGAGACTGTGATGGAAAACGTCGAAAGAAAAGGGAGAAGGAAGGAACGCGCGAAGAGAAGAGAAAAGAGGCGAAGAGAGGGGCCAGGGTGGTGGTGAATCAAAGCGAGAATGGGTCAGAGAGAGGGGTTGGGGTGCGATACACACAGCTGGGGTGTGAGAGAGGAGAGGGTGTATCGAAGGGTGAAGTTGCGCGGAATGGAAAGCGGATAAAAGAGAGACAGGAGCGATGCGCGCAGGCGTGAAACGAACGCGGTGAATGCTCGGCATCCGCGTGGCGCGAGTTAGAAGTTGGCTTCACGCTTTTAGTCTCGGCTCGTGCCCCTCGTCTCGTTCATCCTCGTTCATCCGTCTTCGTAGAGGAACGAAGAGTTACTGCCGAGGAATCGAGTCCGTCTTGGCCGAATTTCCCAGTCGTCGTCGAGTTCCGGAAGTCAAGGGGCAAAGAAGAA